GGACTGGACTCAATGACCTCTCGAGGTCCCTTCCAGTCCTAGAATCTATGAATCTATTATTAACCTAATAGATGTTAACGGTCTTGAAGTTGGTCCAATAAAAGATATTATCTCACCCACCTTGTCTCTCAAATATATTGTAGACATTTAAAAAGTGTCTACCTAGTAAATCAATAATTAATTACTTTTACTTTTTTATATGCCTTTTGGATTTGAAGAACAATTCCTTTCCCCTTGCTATATTGTCTTTCCACCTGCTCTGCTTATTTTATTTTTAATTTCTGCAACATGGCATGAGGGAAGTTTATTTTGGGGTGGTTACTAGGATAGATAAGCATGTTTGACAAGATAGCTCAGTGGTTTGAGCATTAGCCTGCTAAACCCAGGGTTATGAGCTCAATCCTTGAGGGGGCCACTTATGGATCTGGGGTGGAAAAATCAATACTTGGTCCTGCTAGTGAAGTTGGGGGACTGGACCCCAACTTCAGGGTCCCTTCCAGCTCTATGAGATAGGTATATCTCCATATATATTAAGACCATGTTTGTCATTCCACATTAGCAATAAGGGGGGGACATTAGAAGACAGATGCTCTTGTGCAGCTGACAGCCGTGGTTGTTCATGTTTGTAGTGCCCCATGGGCTGCTCATTAAATTCGTGTTTGTCCATGGGCGAGTGCGTGTGGTGGAGGGGTGTAAATGAAAATTCCCAGCAGGGGGGAGAGAGGGGAGGAAAACGTATATATGACAATTCTCGGGGTGGGGGGTGGAAATGACCATTCACTGCACAGGGGGAGGGGTGTAAATGGGCCCGGGAAGCGCTCTGCCCTGCCCTACACCCACACGACCCCCAGCGCCGAGCGCGGCTGAGGGAGCTGGAGGGACAGAGCAGGCGGGCGGCGCCTCTCCCTGGACAGCCTCGCCGCCGCCCTGCCCTGCCCAGGCAGCAAAGAGCTGCGCGCCCCCGGGCAGAGGGCGGCACACGGGGCCGGGCCGTTACCCCCGCCCGAGGTCTCTGCAGTGTCCGGCCCCACACAGGGCAGAGCGGGCAGCCGCCGCCGAGGGGTCAAGGCGGCTCCGTCGCGCCCTTTGTATGGCAGCTCCGCGGTCCCCCGCTACTTACCCCTTAGCCGGCGGGACTCGGCCCCCGCGGGCGGCCTCTCGGGTCCCGGGAGATTCTGCCGAGGCGGCGGCTGGCTCCGATCCGCGGGCGGGGGCAGCTCCAAGGGCTCTTCACTTACGCCCGGCAGCGGCGGAGGCGGCAGCCATCTTACCTCCTCCTTGTCCCCCCCCCCCCCCGGAACCGGTCACGTGAGCCCTCCCGTCGCCTTAGCCCTGGGCACAGGCGGGGCGCCCGGCCTAGCCGTTAGCGCTGGTGTTTACACCGGACTCGGAGCCAGAGGGGCGGGGTTCGAACCCCCGCGGGGACAGCGGGATCCCAGCAGCCTCCCCTTCGCCGCCAAGTAATTCCGCCTCAGCATCCCTCGGCTGGAAAACCTGCCCGTCGGAGCCCCGGTCGGGGTTCTGCTCCAGCGCCAATGCTGGCCGCAGGCTGCACCCTCCGGGCTCTGGCCGCTGGTCCCTGAGCACAGCGGCGGGATTTGCCCGGCTGCGAAATGTTCCCGGCCCCAGGAACCGTCTCGTTTGGCTGCTGAGAGGCTAGTAAGATAAGCAAGTTGTGTGTGCGCGCTGGCAGCAGGCGGGCTGAGACGCTGCCTGCCCCAGGAGGAGACCGAGCCTCACCCCTGGGCCGTTGGGTGATTGTCAGACGTTATTTTAACGAACGGGTTCGTCCTCCTGCGCCTCTCCCCGTGGTGTCTGGGGCTAGCGGAGTCCCTGCAGCAGAGACTGCAGCTGCAATCTTGTCTCAAGCCCAGCTGGTGCTACAGGACTGAATACAGGCAGTCAACTTGTGCAACCCCCAGGATAGCGCATCTGAGCATGTATAACTGCAGACCTGATTACTTTTTTTAAAAAATAACTAGAAAAGAAAGCTGCAGTCGTCGTGTTCAGCTCAGCAATCTAAATTCACAAGGGAGATGCTCCTCATTCTGAATACATTTAAATGAGCTTGAACTCAATTTAAGAGCAAAAGCAATTGTTATTTCTGAGCTTTCAGCTAGCAGTGGCCATCTGAGAAGTGAGGTGCACCTAAGGGTTCACAAACAAAGGCAAGATAACCAGCTCCCAGTGCTGAAGAGCATCAGTGCCAGGTCATGATTCTTGAAACACCCACAAGATTTTATCCACATAAGTAGCTCCATTAGTGTATCCTCTCTCTTGTGTTAACCTCCTGAGCTTTATGGAGTTTCAAACATGTCCCAGACATAATTAGCTCTTTTCACAATTCAAAGTGTTCCATTGTTTGTCTGCATCTAAGTAGCTGGAGGACTTGGTGATGCTATGCAGAAAGTTATTGATTTTTTGCCTTCTGCCTGTTTTACTTCTCCCTTCTGTAGTTTATCAAAAATGTTGCTTCTAAAATCATCTCCAACTTCACTACCCCCCCCCCCCCTTTCAAGTCCCTTTACAAGGTTCCCATCTTTTTCCAATTTGTCCTCATCTTATAGGTTCTCCACAACTTTGTCCTACCTATATATATTTTCTGATCTCCTTTGCTCTCAATACTCCTCCAGTCCTGTCTCACTTTTATGCTATCACCTACTCTTGGAACAGCCTTCCCTTGCCTCACACAGAGGCTCCATTGAAGTCAATGCCAGAATTCCAGTGAGGCCAGGATTTCAGCCCTAAGCGTCATCCTTCTCCTCATTCAAATCCAATTTTTTGTAAACACTAATCTCAACTGATGTCCCAACATCATCTTGAATTTGTTATGTCATCCAGTGTACATTTGTCTGAACTAGACTGCTAGCTGCTCAGGCTAGGGATGTTTTCAGAGTTTGTAAAGTGCCATTTACCATACCCTTATCGTGTTTAGAAATATAGTATGATAAATATTAATGCTTGTAGACTAGTGCAGTGGGGGATATGGTCCACAAAAACCTAAAAAATTATTTCACTGAGCACATTTACCTCCTCTTCCCCCCCCCCTCAAGGATTTATATTTGAAGTTTATGATGCATATGTTAAAAGTAAGTTTGGGGGGTGGGGGTTGAACACAAACAAAAAAACTGGGAAAGGATCCAACTCAGTCTATAACCTGATTCAGGCAATCTGACATGGAACTCCACCTCTTCAGAGGTTCTTCTACCATCTGACTACAAGCTAGTTGCTTTTATAGTTTGTGTGTGCACAAGTATGCATGTGTGGGAGAGAGGAAGGGAATGAAGGACTGAGTCTCAAATCCAGGACCTTGTGAAAGATGTATAGCTCACTTGCAATAACACTATCTTAACCATCCTTTAAATGTTCGGCATCTATCTAGTCCCTTCAAACAAGAGGCCAAGATATTAAATACTTAAAAAAATAGTATTAAAGAAACCAAACACCTCTCTCCAATCCCAGCCAGAGCTGATAAATGGTTGGATCCAATAAATAACCCTTACAACACAAGCAAACTATGCAGTGGCTGGCAGGAAAATCCCAGAGCACAAACAGTGGCAACAAAAATCAATCAATCAATCTCATGAATCTCACAAACAAAAATGGGTGGTTTCATTTCTTACCCCTGTCCTTCAGACGCATTTGCTTTGTCTCAGTTTGGAACTGTTCCCTTGCTCACTCAACATCCTGGAGATGAATGCATGGCTGCAGAGATAGTGTCAGCAGGAGGGCTTTGGCTTCCTTGACCAGGGATGCTGTTATGGCAGTGAGGATTGCTGGCAAGCAATGGGGTCCACCTAACTAAGAATGGGAAGAGCATCTTCTCACACTCAAGGCTGATTCCCCACTCCGACACTGAGTGCAGAAGGTGGGGGGGCCTGCAAGGACTCTAAAAATTAATACTTGCCACTCCAGGCTTGTCTTAAACTCCCAAGGTTACAGCTTTTCTCTGACCTTGATTGGTAGATGCTGCCACTACACAAGTGCAGAAACCCTTTGAGACTATGAAGGCTCACTTGGGAATTCCTTCCTGGGGGCTACCCTCAAGCCCTTTCACCTCCCCTCTGGGGAAGAGCTGAGAAAGAAAAAGAAAAAAAAAAGAATTCAGCTATTGTCACCAGCTAATTAAACAGGCGCACAAACCTCTTAAGACACAAAACTCCAATTCTGTTCTTTTTAAAAAAGTAAATTTTATTAATAACAAAAGAAGAAAATACAGCTGGGAACTTAGGCTTGTTGCTAAATTTAAAAAAAAAAACAATTACAAGGATTAAGCATCAATAATAGCTTCTTGAGGACCAGCTTAAAGGTTTTTTTTCCTGAGATTGACCAGTGGCTTTCCCGCTCAGAAAGTTTTTTGCTGAGAAACACGACAGGATGAAATTATTGATCTGGTCCTTCCTGCATTAATACTGCTCCTACACCACGTTCAGACACATCTGTGGTTACGACGAAAGGTTGGTCGAAGTCCGGAGCCCTTAGTACGATGTCAGACGTAAGGGCTGCCTTAAACTGGTTAAAGGCTTTCTAACACTTCTCAGTCCTCTGCACTGCATTTGGGTGTTTTTTCCTGGTTAGGTCGTCAGTGGGGTGGCAATTTGGCTTTAGTGTGGTACAAATCATCTGTAATACCCGGCCAAGCCTAAGAAGGATTGGACCTGCTTCTTTGACTTAGGGACAGGCCAATTTTGGATACCATTTACTTTAGCCTGTAGGGGATTGATAGTTCCTTGACCCACCTGGTGTACAAGGTACGTTACCCTGTTTAGGCCTATTTGACATTTTTTGGCCTTAACGGTTAATCCTGCCTCCCTTATGCACTGGAAGATAGCTTGGAGGTGTTCCAGGTGTTCTGCCCATGAATCTGAGAATATGGCCACATCATCAAGACTGAAAATGCCCCAGATCCAGCCAGAAGGTTCTCTACCAGTCTCTGGAAGGTGGCGGGTGCATTTCACAGTCCGAAAGAGAGCACACTAAATTCATACAGCCCTACATGGGTGATGAAGGCTGACCTTTCCTTGGCTGGGTCATCTAGCAGCACTTGCTAGTACCCCTTAGTTAAGTCTAAGGTGGAGATGAATGGGGCACATCCCAGTTTTTCCAATAGCTCATCTGTGTGTGGCATTGGATAGTTCTCTGGGCGAGTTGCAGCATTTAGCTTATGGTAGTCCATGCAAAAGTGGATTTCCCCATCTGGTTTGGGAATCAGAATCTCTGGAGAGGCCCATGCACTGTAACATGTCTGTACATGTCCTTGATCTCCCTTTCTATTGTGGTTTAGGCCTGAGGAGCCATCCAGTAGGGTTGGGCTCTAATTGGGCAAGCATCACCTGTGTCAATGGAGTGGTACACCCGTTCTGTCCGTCCTGGGTGACTGAAAACATGGGTGCGAAGCTGGTGCACAGCTCCTGGATTTGCTGTCGCTGCTTATGCCCAAGGGTCATGGAAAGGCTCACCTCTTCTATGCCACCATTGCTTTTTTCTTCATAGTAGACTCCTTCAGGCCACTCAGCGTCATTTCTCTCCTGGGCTGTAAACTGCAGAACCTTGATTTCTCGGGAATAAAAGGGTTTTAGAGAATTAACATGGTATACTTTAGGTTTTAGGGTAGGATCAGGGAACGCTATGAGGTAATTAACAGCTCCCAATTAACAGGTAATTGGCCCTCCCACGACGCTTCCATCTTATTGGCCTGGAGCACTTTCAGGACCATGACTTGGTCACCTATTCTTAAGGAACGCTCTCTGGCATGTTTATCATACCAGGCCTTTTGCTCTTGTTGAGCATCCTGTAGGTTTTCTCGAGCAAGGGCTAGAGAGTTTTGAGGGTGTTTTGCAGGTTGGTTACAAAGTCCAAAATGTTAGTTCCTGGAGAAGATGTAACCCCGTCCCATTGCTGCTTCACCAACTGTAATGGCCCTTAACTTCGTGGTCATAAATGAGTTCAAAGGGTGAAAATCCCAAACTGGGATGTGGTACAGTCCTGTAGGCAAAGAGCAACTGCTGCAATACTAGGTCCCAATCATTGGAGTGCTCATTCACAAATTTACGTATCATGGCCCCCAAAGTTCCATTAAACTTCACGACTAGGCCATTCGTTTGATGATGGTAAGGGATGGCAACCAAGTGATTCACCCCATGAGCTTCCCAAAGACATTTCATGGTCCCTGCCAGAAAGTTAGTTTCCAAATCCGTAAGGATGTCGAAGGGCCAGCCTACCCTGGCTGGGTCCCAGGAACTGGATTTACAACTGCTGCCATAGACTCTGGTCTGGAGTTT